CTCCCCAACTACCGTCCCCGCTGTCCCTCCAAGATCCCCCCAATAGACCCCAGTGTGTAGTGCTCCCCTCCCTGTGTCCATGTGTTCTCATAGTTCATCACCCACCTATGAGTGAGAACATGCGGTATTTCATTTTCTGTTCTTGTGTCAGTTTGCTGAGAATGATGTTCTCCAGATTCATCCATGTCCCTACAAAGGACACGGACTCATCATTTTTGATTGCTGCATAATATTCCATGGTGCATATGTGCCACATTTTCCCAGTCCAGTCTATCATCGATGGGCATTTGGGTTGGTTCCAGGTCTGTGCTATTGTAAACAGTGCTGCAATGAACATTCCTGTGCATGTGTCCTTATAGTAGAACGATTTATAGTCCTTTGGATGTATACCCAGTAATGGGATTGCTGGATCAAATGGAATTTCTACTTCTAGGTCCTTGAGGAATCACCACACTGTCTTCCACAATGGTTGAACTAACTTAATCTCCCACCAGTAGTGTAAAAGTGTTCCTATTTCTCCACATCCTCTCCAGCATCTGTTGTCTCCAGATTTTTTAATGATCGCCATTCTAACTGGCGTGAGATGATATCTAAATGTGGTTTTGATTTGCATCTCTCTAATGACCAGTGATAATGAGCATTTTTTTCATATGTTTGTTGGCCTCATGTATGTCTTCTTTTGTAAAGTGTCTGTTCATATCCTTTGCCCATTTTTGAATGGGCTTGTTTGTTTTTTTCTTGTAAATCTGTTTGAGTTCTTTGTAAATTCTGGAAATCAGCCCTTTGTCATATGGGTAAACTGCAGAAATATTTTCCCATTCTGTTGGTTGCCGATTCACTCTAATGACTGTTTCTTTTGCCATGCAGAAGCTGTGGAGTTTGATTAGGTCCCATTTGTCTATTTTGGCTTTTGTTGCCAATGCTTTTGGTGTTTTGTTCATAAAGTCCTTGCCTACTCCTATGTCCTGAATGGTTTTGCCTAGATTTTCTTCTAGGGTTTTTATGGTGCCAGGTCTTATGTTTAAGTCTTTAATCCATCTGGAGTTAATTTTAGTGTAAGTTGTCAGGAAGGGTTCCAGTTGCTGCTTTCTGCACATGGCTAGCCAGTTTTCCCAACACCATTTATTAAACAGGGAATCCTTTCCCCATTGCTTGCTTTTGTCAGGTATATCAAAGCTTGTAGGGTTGTAGATATGTTGTGTTGCCTCCAATGCCTCTGTTTTGTTGTTCCATTGGTCTATATCTCTGTTTTTGTACCAGTACCATGCTGTCTTGATCACTGTAGCCTTGTAGTATAGTTTGAAGTCCGGTAGTGTGATGCCGCCCGCTGTGTTCTTTTTGCTTAGAATTGACTTGGCTATGTGGGCTCTCTTTTGGTTCCATATGAAGTTCATGGTGGTTTTTTCCAGTTCTGTGAAGAAATGAAATGGTAGCTTGATGGGGATAGCATGGAGTCTGTAAGTTACTTTGGGCAGTATGGCCATTTTCATGATATTGATTCTTCCTAACCATGAACATGGAATGTTTCTCCATCTGTTTGTGTCCTCTCTGATTTCGTTGAGCAGTGGTTTGTAGTTTTCCTTGAAGAGGTCCCTTACGTTCCTTGTGAGTTGTATTCCTAGGTATTTTATTCTCTTTGTAGCAATTGTGAATGGCAGTTCATTCTTGATTTGGCTCTCTTTCAGTCTGTTATTGGTGTATAGGAATGCTTGTGATTTTTGCACATTGATTTTGTATCCTGAGACTTTGCTGAAGTTGCTTATCAGTTTCAGGATATTTTGGGCTGAGACGGTGGGGTCTTCTAGATATACTATCATGTCATCTGCAAATAGAGACAATTTGGCTTCCACCTTTCCTATTTGAATACACTTTATTTCTTTTTCTTGCCTGATTGCTCTGGCTAGAACTTCCAGTACTATATTAAATAGGAGTGGTGAGAGAGGGCATCCTTGTCTAGTGCCAGATTTCAAAGGGAATGCTTCCAGTTTTTGCCCATTCAGTATGATATTGGCTGTTGGTTTGTCATAAATAGTTTTTATTATTTGAGATACGTTCCACCAATACCGAGTTTATTGAGGATTTTTAGCATAAAGGGCTGTTGAGTTTTCTCAAATGCCTTCTCTGCATCAATTGAGATAATCATGTGGTTTTTGTCTTTGGTTCTGTTTATGCGGTGAAATTACGTTTGTAGACCTGCGTATGCTGAACCAGCCTTGCATCCCCGGGATAAATCCTACTTGACCATGATGGATAAACTTTTTGATGTGCTGTTGCAATTGGCTTGCCAGTATTTTATTGAATATTTTTGAATCTATGTTTATCAAGGATATTGGCCTGAAGTTTTCTTTTCTTGTTCGGTCTCTGCCAGGTTTTGGTATCAGGATGATGTTGGTCTCACAAAATGATTTGGGAAGGATTCCCTCTTTTTGGATTATTTGGAATAGTTTCAGAAGGAATGGTACCAGCTCCTCTTTGTGTGTCCGGTCCTCCCCAGACCTTCTAGTTTGGCATGGTGGCACATGCTTACAAACCCAGCAATTTCATAGGCCGAGGTAGGAGGATCACATGCGTCCAGACGTGTTTGCTTTCGTGTTGTTTTTTATTTTGTTTGAGACAGATTCTTGCTTTGTCACCCAGGCAGGTGTGCAGTGGGTGATTTAAGCCCACTGAAACCTCCATCCTCCATGTTCAAGCGATTCTGCTGCCTCAGCCTTCTGAGTTGCTGGGACTGCAGGTTCCTGCCACCATGCCCAGTCTTTTTTCTTTTTCTATTTTCTTTTCAGACAGAGTTTGGCTTTTGTTGTTCAGGTTGGAGTTCAGTGGCGGGATCTTGGCTCACTGCCACCTCTGCCTCCAAATTCAAGTGATTCTTCTGCCCCAGGCTCCCAAATGGCTGGGATTACAGGCATGCACCACCATGCCCAGCTAATTTTGTATATTTAGTAGAAATGGGATCTCTCCATCTTGGGAAGGCTGGTCTTGAACTCCGAACCTCATGTGATCCAACTGCCTTGGCCTCCCAAATTGCTGGGATTACAGGCATGAGCCACCAACCCAGACCAATATCTTTATATTAAAACATAAATTGGAGGCTGAGGCAGGTTGATCCACTTAAGGTCAGGCAGTCGAGACCAGCCTGGCCATTATGGTGAAACCCTGTCTCTACTACAATTACAAAAATTAGCCAGGAATGGTGGCGGGTGCCTGTAACACCAGCTACTCAGGAGGCTGAGCCACAAGAATCACTTGAATCTGGGAGGTAGAGGTTGCAGTGAGCCAAGATCAGACCACGGCACTCCCACCTGGGTGACAGAGTGAGAGTCTGTCACGAGGAAAACAAAAAACAAAAAACTCAAATTGGACTGTTTCTTCCCTGCTTCCTGATTTCTGATCACGCTCACATTGAAAGATAAACTGCTTAACTTCCCTCCCCTCCCCAGGCCTGCAGACCCTGCCCAACCCATCCTCCTTCCCTCCTCAGTCTCTCCCACTCCTCACTCTGCTCAAGCCACAGGGACCACCTCGCTGTTCCTTCAAGACCCCTGACATAGCCCTGCCCCAGGGCATTTGCATGGGCTGTGCCCTCTGTATGGAAAGTGCTTACCCCCAATACCTTCCCTCTCACACTGGTTACCTTTTTCCATTAAGATCGTGTCCTAGGCTGGGCATGGTGGCAAGTGCTTATAATCCCAGCAATTTTGCAGACTGAGGTAGGAGAATCACAAGGGCCCAGAAGTGTTTGGTTTTGTTTGTTTTCTTTGTTTTGTTGTTGACAGAATCTTCCACTGTTACCAGCAGGAGTGCAGTGGGTGATTGCAGCCCACTGAAACCTCCACCTTCCAGGTTCAAGCGATTCTGCTGCCTCAGTCTTCTGAGTAGCTTGGATGACAGGTGCCTGCCACCATGCCCATGATTTTTTTTTTTTGAGACAGTGTTTTACTCTTGTTGCCCAGTTTAAAGTTCAGTGGTATGACCTTGGCTTACTGCAACCTTCACTTCTCAGGTTCAAGTGATTATCCTGCTTCAGCCTTCCAAATGGCTGGGATTACAGGCATGGGCCACCATGCTCACCTAATTTTGTATATTTAATAGTAATGGGATTTCTTTGTCTTGGTCAGGCTGGTCTCCAACTCTCAACCTCAGGTGACCCACCTGCCTAGGCCCCCCAAAGTGCTGGGAATACAGGCGTGAGCCACCAACCCTGACCAAGATCTTTACATTAAATCCTAAATTGGAGGCAGAGGTAGGTAGATCCGCTTGAGGTCAGGAGTTCCAGACCAGCTGGGCCATCATGGTGAAATCTTTTGTCTACTACAATTACAAAAAGTAGTCGGGCATGCAGGTGGGTGCCAATAATACCCGCTACTTCAGGAGGCTGAGCCACAAGTATCACTTGAATCTGGGAGGTGGTGGTTGCAGTGAGCTGAGATCACACTTCTGCCCTCCCACATGGGTGACAGAGTGAGACTCCTTCTTCAAAAACAAAAACAAACAAACAAAAAACCGAAAAACGTAAATTGGACTGTTTCTTCCCTTCTTCCTTATTTCCCATCTCACTTACATTAAAAGATAAACTGCTTACCTTCCCTCACCTCCCCAAAGCCTGCAGGTCCTGCCCAACAGGTCTTCCTTTCCTCCTCCCTCTCTCCCACTCCTCACTCTGCTGCAGCCACAGGGACCTCCTTGCTGTTCCTTCAACAGCTGAACATTCCCTGGCTCCATGAGCTCACTGCCCCACTTCCACCTGGGCCACCCACCAAGGGGCCCTGCCTTGGTCTGGAAGCCCAGGGGTCCCTGTAGACACACACGGACACACACACACACACAGACAGGCACGAAGAAAGCAAGACACACGGAGACATCCAACAGTCGCAGGCAGCTCCTGAGGCTGTGAGGTTCTGCTCTCTACCGGGAAGCCCCTCGGGGAGAGAGCAGCCACCGGGCACACAGGCTGGCGGTACCTGGAAATCCCTGCAGGGACAGCTTTCAAGGAGACGCACCCCCCACAGCGTCTGAGCAGGCCTGAAGCATCGTGGGGATCCTTGGGGATCGGCCTGGACATCCCTGGAGCTCCGCTGCGGCTTTTCTCAGCCTGGTCCCGCCCTGCTCGACTTCTGAAATCGCGGGACACTGGCGACGATCTCGGGGAGGGGAGGCTGTTGCCCAAGGCCCAGGCACTGCCACGGAGGGTCCGTGGTTTTCACAGCCGCTGATAAGGCGGTTCCGCAGGCCACGGGGGCTGTGACTGTGACGCGAGCCCCGGGTGGGAGCTCACGTGTCTGACACGCCGATAGCGCGTGGGCATTGGTGTGCCCGGCTGGCCCCGGCAACGTGGGCGCTCCGTGCAGGGGGGCCGTAGGGGCACCGGAAAATGCTGGCGGCGGTGTCCGAGGCGGCCCCAGGGAAGGAGGCTGCCTGCCACAAGCTGAGCACAGCCCGACCGTCCCGACCTCCCTGAGCCGACTTTGCTGTTCGGGTCGGCTGGATGCGGAGGGCGCTTGAGACCGTGAGGTGCGCACCCGGGTCTGCTCTGCCCACTGGATTCCGGATCGGACGGCGTCGGCTGGGATCGGGTCCCGCGGGGCTGGAGATTCAGTCTGGTGAAGGGTGGCGGGGTCGGTGGAACCCAGAAAGATGCCTGGGACCCTCCGGGAGGGTGTAAGGAGAACGTTGCCGGGCTCCATGGGCTCCCTGCCCCGCTTCCACCTGGGCCACCCACCAAGGGGCCCTGCCTTGGTCTCCAAGCCCAGGGACCCCTGCTTCTCTGCACTGCTGTCCGGAGAAGGTGTGAGGAAAGACAAAGCAGCAAGCCCAGCCAGGGGTAGAGGCGGCCACACAGGGAACCAGCCTCTTCTGGGGCGGATCCGCTGGAGAGAGCGGCTCAGAAGATTTCTGGGGCGAAGCCCAATCCCGAGACCAAGGTCCAGGCAGGCCGCTGAGGACCCCCACGGAAGCCAAGCACAACATGCTGACGGATTTAGTCACTTATTGTTTTTACGGAAAACATCATCATCTTCCTACAAAGTTTTTTTCTCAAATTGCTTGGACCGCCTGTACACGGAGACCACTTGTCAACTTGTCCTGTGGAGAGAAAAACTCCGGGTGTTAAAAATGCAGATTCTCACTCTTATATGCTGTGGCCTCTGTCTGGAAACTGCTTACCCCCCAATACCTTACTTCTCACACTGGTGACCACTTTCCATTAACATTTTGGCCCAGGCTGGGCATGGTGGCACTTGCTTATACTCCCAGCAATTTCACAGGCTGAGGTAGGAGGATCGCATGAGCCCAGAAGTGTTTGCTTCTGTTTTGCTTTCTGTTTTGTTTGAGACAGAATCTTGCTCTGTCGCCCAGGCAGAAGGGCAGTGGGTGATTTTAGCCAACTGAATCCTCCACCTTCCTCGTTCAACAGACTCTGCTGCCTCAGCCTTCTGAGTAGCTAGGAATACAGGTGCCTGCCACCATGCCCAGGTGTTTTTTTTTTCAGACAGAGTTTTACTCTCATTGCCCAGGTTTGAGTTCGGTGGCAGGATCTTGGCTCACTGAAACCTTCACTGCTCAGGTTCAAGTGATTATCCTGCCTCAGACTCCTAAATGGCTGGGATTACAGGCATGGGCCACCATGCCCAGCTAATTTTGTATATTTAATAGTAACGGGATTTCTCTATCTTGGTCAGGCTGGTCTAGAACTACCAACCTCAGGTGATCCGTGTGCCTCGGCCTCCAAAAATGCTGGGATTAAAGGCATGAGCCACCAATGTTGACCAATATCTTTTCATTAAAACCTAAATTGGAGGCAGAGGAAGGTAGATCCACTTGAGGTCAGGAGTTCCAGGCCAGCCTGGTCATCATGGTGAAATCTTTTCTCTTCTACTATTACAAAAATTAGCATATAAAGGCAAGGCAAGGCAAGGAATCTGAGGGCATGTAAAGCTTCTAAAGGCAAGGAAAGGCAAGGCAAGGCGTCTAAAGGCATGTAAAAGCATCTGAAGGCAAGGTAAGGCAAGGCAAGGCGTCTAAAGGCATGTAAGGCATCTAAAGTCAAGGCAAGTCAAGTCAAGGCAAGGCAATGCCTCTAAAGGCATGTAAAGGCATCTAAGGGCAAGACAAGGCATCTAAAGGCAAGGCAAGGCATTTAAAAACATTTTAAGGCATCTAAAGGGAAGGCAAGGCATCTAACATTTAAAGCAAAGCAAGGCAAAACAAGGCAAGGCATCTAAATGCATCTAAAGGCATCTAAAGGCAAGGCAAGACATTTAAAAACATTTAAAGGCATCTAAAGGGAAGGCAAGGCATCTAGAGGCATGTAAAAGCATCTAAAGGCAAGGCAAGTCAAAGCAAGACAAGGCAAGGCAAGGCTTCCAAAGGCATGTAAAGGCATCTGAAGGCAAAGCAAAAAAGGCAAGGCAACTCTAGGTAAGGCATTGAAAGGCATCTAAAGGCAAGGGAAGGCAATGCATGTATAGTCATGTAAAGGCATATAAATCAAGGCAAGGCAAGGCACAGAAAGGCAAGGAAAGGTAAGGCTTCTAAAGGGATGTAAAGGCATAAAAAGGCAAGGCGAGGCAAAACAATGCATCTAAAGGCATGTAAAAGCATCTAAATGCAAGGCAAGGCAAGTCAAGGCAAGGCAAGGCATCTAAAGGCATGTAAAGGCATCTAAAGGCAAGGCAGAGCAAGACAAGGTAATACCTCTAAAGGCAAGTAAAGGCATCTAAGGCCAAGGCAAGGCATCTAAAGGAATTTAAAGGCATCTGAAGGCAAGTCACAGCAAGGCAAAAAAGGCATCTAACGGCATGTAAAGGCATCTAAAAGCAAAGCAAGGCAAAATATAGGCAAGGCTTCTAAATTGTGTAAAGGCATCTAAAGGCAAGGCCAGGCACAGCAAGTCATCTAAAGGCATGTAAAGGCATCTAAAGGGGAGGTGAGGCAAGGCAATGTAAGGCATCTAGAGGCATCGAAAAGCAAGGCAAAACAAGGCAAGTCAAAGCATCTGAGGGATGTAAAGCTTCTAAAGGCAAGGCAAGGCATCTAAAGGCCTGTATAGGCATCTAAAGGCAGGACAAGTCAAAACAAGACAAGGCAAGGCAAGGTATCTAAAGGCATGTAAAGGCATCTAAAGGCAAGGCAAGGAATCTAAAAGCATATAAAAGCATCTAAAGGCAAAGCAAGGCAAGGCAAAACATCTAAAGGCATGAAAAGACATTGAAAGTCAATGCAAAACAAGGCAAGACATGTAAAAACATCTAAAGGCAAGGAAAGGCATCTAAAGGCATGCAAAGGCATCTAAAGGCAAGGTAAAGCAAGGCAAGGGATCTAAAGGATGTAAAGGCATATAAAGACATTTAAAGACAAGACAAGGCATCTAAAGACATGTAAAGGCATCTAAAGTCAAGGCAAGTCAAGTCAAGGCAAGGAAAAGCATCTAAAGGCATGTAAAGGCATCTAAAGGCAAGGCAGAGCAAGAGAAGGCAATGCCTCTAAAGGCATGTAAAGGCATCTACGGGCAAGGCAAGGCATTTAAAGATATTTAAAGACATTTAAAGGCAAGTTACAGCAAGGCAAGGAAAGGAAAGGCATCTAACAGCAAGTAAAGGCACCTAAAAGCAAAGCAAGGCAAAACAAAGCAAGGCATTTAAAGGCATGTACAGGCATCTAAAGGCAAGGAAAAGCAAGGCATCTAAAGGCACATAAAGGCATATAAAGGCGAGGCAAGTGAAGGCAAAGCAAGGCAAGATATTTAAAAGCATGGAAGGCATCTAAATGCAAGGCAAGTCAAGCCAAGTCAAGTCAAGGCCTGTAAAGGCATGTAAAGGCATCTAAAGGTAAGGCAAGGAATCTATTAGCATATAAAAGCATCTAAAGGCAAGGCAAGGCAAGGCATCTAAAAGCATGAAAAAGCATCTAAAGGCAAGGAAAGGCAAGGAAAGCAATGTGAAGTATCTAAAGGCAAGGCAGAGCAAGGCAAGGCAATGCATCCCAAAACAAGTAAAGACATCTAAAGGCAGGGCAAGTCAAAGCAAGACAAGGCAAGGCAAGGCAAGACACCTAAAGGCATGTACAGGCAACTAAAGGTAAGGCAAGTCAAGTCAAGGCAAGGCAAGGCATCCAAAGGAATGCAAAGCCATCTAAAGGCAAGTCAAGGCAAGGCAAGTCACAGCAAAGCAAGGCAAGGCATCTAAAGACATATAAAAGGATCTACAGGAAAGGCAGGGCAAGGCAAGGAAATGCATCTAAAAGCATGTAATGGTATCTAAAGGCAAGGTAAGGCAAGGCCAAAACATCTAAAAAAATTTAAAGGCATCTAAGGGCAAGGCAAGGCATCTAAAGGCCTGTAAAGGCATCTAAGGGCAGGACAAGTCAAAACAAGACAAGGCAAGGCAAGGCATCTAAAGGCATGTAAAGGTATCTAATGGCAAGGCTAGACAAGGCAAGGCATCTAAAGGCATGTGAAGGCATCTAAATGCAAGAGAAGGCAAGGCATCTAATAGCATGTAAAGGAACCTAATGGGAACTCAATACAAGGTAAAGCAAGGTATATAAAGGGATGTAGAAGCATCTAAAAGTAAGGAAAGGCAAGGCATCATAAGGCATGTAAAGACTAGGAAGGGCAAGGCAAGGCAAGAGAGGGGTAGGCATGCAAAGCCATCTATATTAAGGCAAGACAAGGCACAGCAAGGCAAGGCAAAGCAAGGCAAGGCATCTAAAAGAATGTAAAGACATCTAAAGTAAAGGCAAGGCAAGGTAAGGCATCGAGAGGCATGAAAAAGCATCTAAAGGCAAGGGAAGGCAAGGCAAGGGTAGTCAATGCAAGGCCTATAAAGGCATGTAAAGGCATCTAAAGTCAAAGCAAGGCAATTCAAGAAGAGGCATCTAAAGGCATGTAAAGGCCTCTAAAGGCAAGGCAAGGCATCTAATGTCATGTAAAGGCATGTAAAGTAAAGGCAAGGCAAGGCAAGGTAAGGCATCTAGAGGCATGTAAAGGCATCTAGAGCCACGTAAAGGCATCTAGAGGCATGTAAAGGCATCTAAAGGCAAAGCAAGGCAAGGCAAGGCTAGACAAGGCAAGGTCTGTGAAGGCATATAAAGGCATTTAAAGGCCAGGCAACGCTTGGCATCTAAAGTCATGTAAAGGCATTAAAGTCAAGGCAAGGCAATTCAAGAAGAGGCGTCTAAAGGCATGTAAAGGCCTCTAAAGGAAAGGCAAAGCAAGGCAAGGCATCTAAAGGCTTGTAAAGGCATCTAAAGTCAAGGCAAGTCAATGC